CCAGACTCCTAGTCCTGACTCTAATCTTCCTATGGCGGACTCTCTTGTCTCCCTACGACACATCCACCCCCATCAACCCCAATTGCCTATCCACCAACCCCTCACAACAAAACGTTCGCTTTCCTTCTCTGAGCTCCGCTATCGAGTCCAGCATTGTGTGGGACAGTGGCTATGAGTACGAGCAGACATACGCTTTCTTTCCGCTTCTTCCTCTCTGCATGTCGATGTTATCCCGCACAGGTTAGGCTTGGATTAGCAGTTTTTAGTAATACCCATTTGTTAAATTTATTAGTTTCTGGATTTTTGAGCAGTACCCAATTTGCAATTTGTGGCTTTGAGCTTTCCCAATTGGCAATTTGTGAACTTTGAGGTTATCCAATTGAAAATTTGTGAACTTTGAGCTTACCCAGTTGGCAACTTGTGAACTTTGAGATTACCCAATTGGCAATTGGTGAACTTTGAGCTTACCCAATTGGTAATCTCTGAACTTTGGATAAGTGCTTTTTTACAACTAGGCAGTGGTGCTTTCTGGTTTCAGTTTTGGCACCATTGTTCCGGTCATTGGGCAGAGAGCTGTGTTAGGATTATCTGGCTATGTGATCAACATCATTGGCTTCGTGTTTGCGGCTGTTTATCTATACAGGTGAGCTGGTTCGGTTAGGATTTTTAGAAGCTCAATTTGATTAGGCAAACTTTATCCATAGTATAACTACTTGGTAGCTTCAAGTGTGTTTCTTTTCCAATAATAGTTGGAGCTTTACTTACACCATTTTACAAAATGAAAGTAAAGACCTTTCCTTAATGAGACCCTATTCCTCTGAAATTGGATTTTGTCGACAATCAAAGGGAAATAATGTGGAAATGTATGAGAATGAAGTTTCGAGAATGGGGAACTATAATATTTATGAACCTGGATTCAATTGGCTGCCCTTGATTATTTTGACATTGACCTTTTGTTTGGTTTAAAACTTTTGAATACCTATCTTCCCCTTGTCACTTTAACAGGCTTTCAGTTGTTACTTTGGACCATGAAGCAGCAGTGAGGGCTTTGATCTTGTTTTGCTTCAATCCAGCTTCCATATTCCATTTATCAATGTTGTTTTCCCGTTTTCATCTGCTTTATATTGTTGGTACCTATGCTATTGCATCTGGCTGGGGTTTTCATCTGCTTTATACTGCAGATATTCAGAGACATTGTTCGCCCTTTTTTCAGTTGGAGGATTGTATCATCTAATATCTGGAAAACATGTTATTGCTGTTCTTTGGTTTGCCGTCTCTGGATTTTCAAGGTCCAATGAAGTGCTTAATGCTGGTTATTTCTGTTTTCAGACTATGCATCAGACCTATGATGCTGTTTTCTTGAGGAAGCGTCCTTTTGTAGGTTTTAATTTTTTATTTTATTTATGATTTTTAAATTTGTACATATGAAAGATTAAGGTCAGTATCATGATTATCAATAATTTATTTTGCCTACCCAGTTCCATGAAAGTAGACTTTCATTCAGCAATACTATGGAGATACAGTTAGAATATTCTTGTACTGTATCTAAGAAAAAAAGGAACATGCCAATTATGTAGCAGAAAGCAATTGTTGATTTATACTTGCGAAGAAGATGATCGCTTAGCAATTTTCATTTCTGTTGCAGTTGGCATTGCAGGCTGTTGTTGGTGGAGCTCTGCGTTGCATATGCATTTTTGTCCCTTTTGTTGCATTTCAAGCATATGGATACAACAATATTTGTCTTGGACATCTTCCATCCAATATGAGGCCCTGGTGCAAAGCAAGAGTACCATTGCTGTACAATTATATTCAAAGTCATTATTGGTATGCGATCTTTTACCACCAAGGCTTGTTCATCAGGCTACCACTTTCTCTTTTCTTCTTTACATAAAGGTTCACAATCATTACTGTCAATTGTTGCTGAAGAGCAATGTTACAGAAAGGGTCCTTGTTTGGCTGATTATTGGAAAATCATCAATAAATAGTATTTGATTTTGCAAGGAATGGTAATTGGACTGGCTCCATATATATCTGTATAGTTTCAGCTTTTTATACTTATACTGTGCAATTAATACTGTCAAATATACAAAATTGGAATAAAATAGAAATTATGTATGGTTGATGGTTTACCTTGATGCCAGGGGAGTAGGTTTCTTGAGATACTTCCAAGTTAAACGGTTGCCAAACTTTCTACTGGCATCCCCAATGCTGTCTCTAGCACTTTGCTCAATTGTCCATTATGCGAAGTCAAAGCCTGAAACTTTCTTCTCTTTGGGTTTCCGTGCTCCTCCTGAGGATAAAGATTCTGCTGCTGTGCTCTTTTCTCTAGCGGAATACTCCTCCAGAAGTCAGGGTATTACTTTTAAACAGGCACTTGTTTATGATGACGTATTGTTAATTTATTGCTGTCATTTGCTTGAGTTATTGAAGTGTGCCCAAAGGGATTGATTAACCTTTATTATTCCACTTTACTATCTATTACCGTTTTACCTGTATAATGGCTCCTAACTAATGTGTTTACTTACATCCAATTGTTTTATTATGCATGACCTAATCAATATTTTTGGAATATTGTTTCCCTTCCATTTTTATGTTGCCTTTCAAGACCGTGTAATCAATTGTTTGCAAATGTGACAGAAAATCACAATCTCAAAGCAAGGAACCAAGTGAACAAAGATGGTCCTGCTTTTCTCTCAGAAGAACGTAAATTATCAGCAAAGCGAGGATACTTGTCTGTTGCTGTGCTTCCATTATTCTACATTTGGGATTTATGGCAGCCACGGCGTTTTTTGTCATGCATGTGCAGGTTTGACTTTATTCACTCTTAAAGTTATTTATTTTGCCAAAGAATTTAAGTTAGCAGTATTTGAAAAATATACAATTCTAAATTTCAGCCTTATGATATTATGGTTGTCAGTAATTCTCTTTGACTTGACAATATAATTTTGTCAAATTTTTTGGGTTTATATTTGGATTTGGATGAAAACTCAAAAAAATTTCGATCATCGTTGATATCATGATTTATCTTATCTTTCAATGGAAAGGCAAGCTAGTGGAAATCAGTTGCTTGATAGATGAATACTAACCAAGCATGTAAATATTAATCACTCTGAGTTTTACTTTTTGAATAGATTGACTCACCTTATTTGCAGGCTGAGATAAAACCATCTGATGGGAGTGAAATACAGGGTGAATATGAAAACTTATGCGTTCATATATCGGCTGACACATTTGAGAAAGTAGTTGCAGCGGTTGCTATAATTGAACTGCTAGTCACCTCTGTATCAGTGAGTTTCGTTTTATGTTTAAACATAAAGCTTTTACATCCTACAGTTTCTTATAATTTTTTTTTTCATGCTATTTATTATGATTTCTACAGTTGTTTCTCACTATCATTACTTGAAGTACTTCCATATAAGGAAATCTGGCAACATCAACTTCCGTATAGGGAAATCTGGCAGTATCATTTCTTGACGGGCCCATCGTCCGCTCCCGTGAATATGCCTGGCTTCAATCCGCTGAATTCTTCGAGACCAATTCTTAACAATCCATCCCATCTGTCAACATCACCTTTCAACCCCACAGACCTGCCTTCATCATTTGGGCTTCCACGATCTCTTGTTTCCCCTAGACAACCTCTCTTGTTTCCCCTATATAAAACCCACCATGAACACAAATTTTGCCGCATACATATCTGGCTCCCCAGCCTGAATCAGTTCAAAATAATGTTTCAGTTCCACTCGCATTCCTGGGAAACCGACCCCCACAAATTTTGCGCCTTCATTTCTGCAATATGTGTCTATTAATTGTCCTGGATAACTGCCTGCTGGAAGCTCTACTGGATGGTCGAGTGGTCCACCAGCTCCACAACCAGGTGTTGGATCCATGCTGCCACCTCCAAATATATCAACAGTGAATATGGTATCTTCTATAAACCATCCTATTGCAGCACCAAGCTTTACTTTAATTCCACGGCCTCAAGCGGGACTTCCTTGTACATATCTATCAACATCTCTACAAGCAAGAGTTCCAAGTTCTGTTTCTGAAAGTGTTCCAAGTTTTGCTCCCTTAAAAACCATCAATGATGACTGCTCCAAGCCCTGGCGTTTTCACTTGTCAGCCTCACGGACCACAGAATCCATCCTTCCAAACGGTTCCCCAGTCAAGCAGTCACTTCTCAGCACAGAATGCTTCTCTCGCCAGACCAATGTTGCCACCTCCGGCACCTCGGGCACTGTCCTTCCAGTTTCCTCAGCCGGGCAGTCAGGTGTTATTGAGACCACAGCTCGGTGACGACATTGGGTCAGCATCCATCTGCTTATATATCTACTGCTCCCTACGCCAGAAATTCAACTGCCATCTCAGTTCCTCCCAGACTTGCAACCTTTATAGACTCCAGTACCGTTCTACCTCGGACACCAGTCGCCAATGAGACCGGCTAACTTCAATCCACCTCACCAGATTCCCAATTTGCCCAGTCCTCTGCCTCCAAGGCCAGGAAATCATATTCAAATTCAACAAAACTATCCTGCTCACTCAACTCAACCTGAGATACCACGTCCTCCAAATCAACAGTTCAGCAACAATCTCGCATTTGCCTCTGGCAAGTCCGCGTCTGGTCCTAGAGGAGGACAGCAACTTTTTGATCCATTCTCGCCCACTGCTGCGAATCAACAGCGGGGTGGTAATCCAGGAAAGATGTGAAAGCAGGCGAATGATCTGTACTAATCGGATTTGATTCCGTTGGTTGGAGTTATACAACTTAGGATTTGGCGAAAAAGGTAACAAAAATGGAATTTGGTTTTTGTAGTCTATAGGTCATGTGTTGCTGTAATCTAATTTCTGATACGACAATACTTCTTCGTTAAACACAGTTCTTCACTTTATCAGGTGAGATTCGACCATATAACTTCAGGTGCAAGGGTAAAAACGCTCTTACCCACTTGAGCAACAAGCCCCTTGGCTTTCTCATTCCTCTTTAATGGCATTATTCTCGACACATTAAATTAAATGCATTACTAGCTTCACAAGTCACAATCATTCCGTCAAGGGGAGGAATTACAAATGATTAGGATTAAATGACCTCGTTAAAATCTTGCTCGGAGAAAACCCAGTGGGAAAAACTCCAAACTTGGGAGAAAGAGTAGCACACTTGAATTACAAATCAATGTTGCCCGGAGAAAACCCAGTGAGAAAAACTCAAAACTTGGGAGAAGAAAGCTTGGCCTAGAAACAGCCATTGCTGTCGTCAAAGAATCGCTCCCAAAGCAGGACAGAACCAACTCTACTGTGTCAGCCACTGGACTCCCAAAGCGAAGAAGCATGCAATGCTGAAACAGTGAAACCCCAAAATCTTGAGGACATAAGTAAACTGCCAAAAAGATTTTAACTTCTTCTCTATTTGCCTTTGGATATATTATTTGGACATGATATCATGATCCCACAAAATATTGTGGACATGATGCCAAGATCCAACCAAAGATGCTTAACAATAATATAGTATTAATAATAATAATAAAACATTTCTTGATACGATGATACCTCTAAAATTATAACTCTATGTGAGGAATGTGGGATATTTTGTGCCAGTAGCGTCCTTTTCCTGGTTGGCATCTCTCTTCTAGCACTGGACACCATTTGATGACTAATTCCTCTAGTGAAGGAGGCAGACCCTCCTCTGGAATGGATGCTAGCTTTGGACAACCCACGAATTCAAGAGATTGAAGGGAGGTGAGGAATTGAAAGCTCTTGCTGCTCAGTTTCTTCAGATTCGGGAAGCCACCTATTTCGAGTTGAGTGAGAGATTTGGGAAGAAGCGTCTCCATCCGGACCATGTCGGGTGGAAACGACACCGTATCCGGGTCTTCACCACTGATCCACAAATTTCTAAGAGAGGTGAGTCTGTGCAACCCCCACTCCAACTCCCACAATGACTTACAGCTCTTGACCTTCCAAATTGTAAGTGATGTGAGGTTGGGAGGAAAAGCCAAACCTTCACGGTAGTCGATCAACAAATCCTCAAGAGAGTTGAGATTGTGCATGTCTGCGGGCAACACCTCCAATTTCTTGCAATCTGTGATCCGGATATATCTCAGGTTGGAGGGTCTTCTCCCCCCACTCAGTCTCGGGATGGAAACAAGACTTCCACATTCTTGAATGTATAGCTCTTGAAGATTGCTGAGGTGGCATAAGCCATCCGGTAAGGATTTCAGATTTGGGCAATCCCAGATCCAAATATATTCAAGGCAGTGATTGGTGTTGTCGCCGAAGAACCCGTCCTCTGCGATTAGCTCCAGTTGTTCACAACCAATCATCTCAAGGTGTTTAAGTGTACTGAGAAGCCGGCCACTCAATGATAACGACGTCAGAGATTGACATCTCCGGATAATCAAGTGCTCAAGACAAGAAGACGACCAAGAACTAACATCCTCCTCATCTACTAGTGATTTCAAACTTTTGCAATCACTTATCTCTATTCTTCTGAGATTTTGGGGAATCTGAAAATTTGCCAAATATATCAACGAATGACACTCGGTAATCTTGATGTCTTTAAGAGAAGGTGGCAGACCAACATATGGAAAAGAAGCTAGACGTGAACATTTGTGTAAGCGAAGATCTTGAAGAGACGACAACTGATTTAACCCTTTCGGTAGCTTTAAAAGATTTTCGCACTTGATTAACTCCAGACATTCAATCCTGCACTCCAATATTTGCAACTCCTTTGCTTCTTTTCCCAATTCTTCAACTAGAGGAGAGTTGTCTTTGATCTTCAAACGGCCAAGAGAAGTCAACTGCTGCAATAATCCAGCCTCATTCTTCAATGATGACTTCAGCTCCTTACATCCATTAATCTTCAATTCTCTAACCTTGGTTAATCCCTTTTTGCACAATTCCCCTGTTTGCAGAGACCTCAGCTCTGAAATGTTTGAAAGACGCAAGGACTCTAATAACTCAAACTCAACCTTAGCAGCTGTATGCACCAACGCTTTACAACCCTTAATGTTTATTTGACGAAGTTGTTTGTAGTTGGCAATCGAAACCACCAATTCCTCGCATTTAAAAATTTCAAGCTCAGCTAACAGATCAAGGTTCTCTGGCAGCTTACCTTCCAACTTAGAACATTTTTTGATTGAAAGCCTTTTCAGGCAAGGGAAAACACCACTTCCGTGATCCATTTGGAAAGGAAGCCATTCCTTCCAATGCTGCATATCCACAAACTCAAGAATCTCTAATAGCGGAAACGGCAAGATACACTCTCCATAAAACTCAGGACCAACACTTCCCACTGCATTCATTCCTCCAATATAAAGTTCTTTGAGATGAGGCAATTGTCCGAGGGGTGGCAACGACAAACATTTGTTGCATCCCTGTAAGCGCACAAGCACCATATTAGAGAACAAAGGACATCCCACCCATGATGAAAATTTCTTTCCGGCATATCTCTTGATGGTGAGCTCTTTGATCTTTGTATGAGGCTGTAACATGTCAAGCACATCGGATTCCGTTTCTCTTGTGTCGCTTGAATGAGACCATTCTAGGACCAACGAATCAAGCCTCTCCTTGCATTTTAAGTTGGCCCTCCGAGCGTCCTCGACGTCAGTCACATTCTCCAATCCTGAGAGGCACAATGTCCCTCGGAGATGCATCAAGAACTCTATCTCTCTTATCCCTGATTGATTACTACCACCACTCACCACAAAATTAGGCAAAGATTGGAGATTCACCAATTTACCTAGTTTTGGAGGCATTCCTTTCCACCAAGATGCACCTGAGTTGTTGAGATGGCGCAAATTAATTAGATTACTCATGTCTGCAGGCAATGACTTCAACTTATAACAACCTTTCAATATCAATGTCTGCAGGTTGTAAAGGGTGCTTGTTGATTTAGGTAAACTGGTAATCAACGTGTAAGAAAGGTCGAGATACCGTAGATACCTTAAATCACCGACTGAGTTTGGCAGCTCAGTTATTTTATAGCGCTTAAAAGAGAGCACCCGCAAGTATTGCAATTTTGGCAATAAATCAAAAGTAACCTGACGACTTAAATAACCCCAAACATAATCCTTGCCTACTGGCAGGAAGGTTCGCAAACATTTCACTTCAGAAAATGCCTCAAATCTTTTAACTCCATCATAATTACCTTTGATGTAAGACGAGTGGCGTGCCTTCGGAAAACATCTAAGTTGTACACCATCATCGTTTTGCTTATCCTCCAATCTAAAACAAATTTCTCCAGCTGCCCATCGTGCTAAATCACCAATGAGGTCATGCATCACATATTTTGAAATATTTTCGGTTGATTTTTGAAACAATGACCTAGATACGAGCTCCTGAAAATAATCAGCACCTAAATCTTCAATTTGCTTATTATCTTCTGGTCGGGGAAGAATAAAGCCCTCGGCCATCCATAGAAGGATCATTTTCTTCTCTTCGAATTCATAGTCATTTGGAAGTATTGAGCAATAGGCAAAGCATCTTTTCAAATGTGAAGGAAGATAAAAGTAGGTTAACCTCAATACTGGAAGTATGTCATGCTCATTTGATAGACTCCACAGTTTGTTGTTCAATATTTCTTCCCATTCGTATGTTTCTTTAAGAAGTAGAACACCACCGAGGGTCCTCGCGGCCAAAGGCAATCCCCTACACTTTGCGACAATTTTCTTCTTAAGTAACTCGTAATTTGGTGGTTTGTCGTTGTTAGAATTTAAGAATGCATGCTGCTCAAATACTTGCAAACAAACATCATTTTCCATGGGCTCCAAATTGTGAACCAGCTTGGCAGCTCCCATCATTTTTGAAACATCTGTATCACGTGTTGTCACAATTATCTTGCTTCCTTGTGCTCCATCACGAAAAGGGGACCGCAGCTTCATCCAATCACCGTAGCTACACGTTTTCCAAACATCATCTAAAACAATTAAAAACTTCTTCCCCGCTAACTCCTTATACAAATCATCTTGAACCTTATTGTAATCTTCTGTCGCACATGGCCGAGATGTGATTGATTCAAGAATTTGCTTTGTCACTCTTCCAAGGTTGAAGTCGTCAGATACGCACACCCAAACAGCTGGTTGAAACGTTTGAGTTGCAACCATATCTTTGAGTACTTGTCCAGCAAGTGTTGTCTTTCCGACTCCAGCCATACCAACAATTGCAACTACATCGAAATTGGCAGCACGATGCTCTTGTTTCGACAGCAGCTCAACAATCTGCCTTTTGTCCTCATCCCTTCCAATCACAGGTCCATCTGGTTGACTGGAACTAGGGGATATGTTTTGGCGTGCCCTTATAGTCGACGTCACAGTATCAATTCTCAAACCAAGCTGGTCTTTTCGTTCGGATATCTCTTGTAATCGCTTGGTAATCTTCTGTATTTCCGAGTTCATTTTGAAGTTGGAAACACGATTAGGAATTGATATCCATGCTTTGCTTCTTGTTTTGAATTTGGAAACACGATTAGGAATTGATTTCCATGCTTTGCTTGTTGTGCTGGGATGAGCATGTTGTATCTGACGTTTCAACATTTTAGCATGACATTTATCCAACACGTCTTCCGCATCAAAAGCCAAGTCCCTGAGATCATCGAGCCAGAGCTTCAGTGCGTTGCTCTCAGCCGTCAGTTGCCTTTCCTCGGCGTCATTCAGCACTGCTCCAATAGCAGACAAGGTGCCACTCCATTTCTTCAGTTTTTGATCGACGCCCTTTACGAGTCCAAAGTACTTGAAGACCTCTCGATGCGCCAACTTGTCAACCAGCACTTGGAGGAATGCCACAAGAAAAGCCTCTCCCGCCATAGTTTCTTGAATTGGAAGTTTGATCCGTTGAGCAATACCAATCAAGACTCACAAGTAGTCACAGCTGCACAATTTAAGCAGATGAAACTAATTATTGTATACAAAATTTATGTAATTCCATAACGGTCCTACCGGCTACACAGGGGCTCAATTACGTTTTACTGAAAATCGCTTAATTTGAAAGACAAAGTACAAAAGAAAAATTTGAGATTAAAAATCATATGTATTTTACATTTTAAAATAGCACTATTAATTTTTGGGACGCGACAAGTTACACAAATCGAAATTCGCATAAATATAGGATCGGATGTATGGCAATAACTTACATGGAAGTCGTCAGATCTTGAGGACACTTGCTTCCGAGGATCAGGTTTCAATTGAAGTTGAAAACTTTAATCCAATTAAGATTAAGGAGTAGTTCCCTGGAAGCTTGAGCTCTCGAGCTTAAAACTGCACAAAGTGTTGAACCTGAAACCATATATCGTATAGCTGGTTATTGATGAAAAAAAAATTCAGTATATAAACTTGAATAAAATGAAATAATTAATCAATAAAAAATAGATTTCCCATATATTTTCAAGAAGAACTTACTGCATCAATTGAAGTTTTCAGATGATCATGAAGATGAAGGAACTTGTTTCCGTTGATCTGATCGCTTATGAAAATCAACGAATTCAGATTCCTGGCGACAAAGACTTTAGTGCTCTTCAATAATTCAATCGGCTATAATATCTCTCCCTCTTTGTCCTGAGCCACACAACACAAAGCAAAAGAAAACAAAGTTGACAGTTTGGCAGAAGGAAAACGCATGGCAACCCCCCCCCCCGGGCTCTTTATCCTGTCGACACTAGATTTTACCAAAGTTACCATGCATCCTGCTTCAGCTTTACCATCGTTTAGTAACAAGGACTGTAACTAATCTCCACACTTTAATTTGTGTAAAAAGTTAAAATAAATTTATTTTAGATTTCATTTTGAAGTCTTGAAGATGAAGAGAAATGTGTTTTATAAGAATACCCTGGAATCGATGTTTAAGGAAGGAAAATTGAGCAAGATTTTCATGATGGAGTGAAATTATTACACATGGTGAATTGTCCTTGAAATATGGTTTTTCTTTTTAACCCACTATATCTTGGGTTCAAATTCTTCCCATCTGATAATTTATATGAATTTATTGTAGATTATCTATCGTTTGTCATTTTTTTAAAACCTCAGTGGTACAATGGAATTTTATTGATATGAAAAAAGAAGTTATAGAGATGATATAAACCTTGTCTCTCATGAAATAAGAAAAAAAATACAGGAAAAAAGGAGGAAATAAATGTTACCCCTCTTGAAAAATAAAATACAAAGAAAAAAAATTAGACATAAAACCAAACCCTTTATAACAAAACCTAAAAGGTAAGAACTTACAAACAAAAGAATTAGGTAAAAAAGAAAATTACACATTAAGAAAGGGTGACAAACCTATGGACTTGTATGCTCAAAAAATTTGAATACAAGAAAAGAAGAATGCCAAAAGATGGAGCTGCATGCAAAACAAGTAAAATTGTTTTCTTATGAAAAATTGAAGATTAAGCTCGGTTAACCGAATTTTAGTGCCACATAATTTACTTGCGTCTTCACGATATAGTTTTATTTTTACTCATAACCCTCCTAGCAACTAGACCTTAATTCCACTATCCCAAAGCTGCAATATTCCACGAACAGCACATGCTAGAAAAGTTGAAAAGTTGTATTCTTTCTACGAGAATCACTTATTTATATTAGGTTCGTCATTGTGTCAGTACTTCAAATAAATAATGCAATAACGTGTGAAGAGAAATTTAACATTTAATAGAAAAAAAAAAAACTGATATTATGTTTTAAATGATTCATTCATATGTCTAATCTAAAATGTAGAGGTCGTGAATAATTTTCATAGAAGAGTACCGTCACTAAGATATATATATCACATTGCTCGAATAATATAAAGGCAATTAGCCACAATAAACACGTTTTGACAAATTGGTGCAGCTTTGATCACAATTTTTTAAAATTTCGCTTTTAATCAATTTTATCATTGAAAAATTAATATTGTCCTTCATTAATCAAAAAGCGTTCAGGCATACGGATACAACAACAATAGTTGTGTTGGACATCTTCCATCCGACATGAGGCCCTGGTGCAAAAGCAAGAGCTAGCAACAATATTGTCTTCAACGGCCAATGCTTTTTCATCAGGCTATCATCTTGTTTAAGCTAAAGGTTAACAATCGTTACGGTCTTGTTGCTGCGGATTATTGGAAAATCATCAGAATACAGTTTCGAGAATGGGGAGCTATAATACAGTTTGCAAGGCAATTTGCTGCCCTTGATTATTTTTACATAGTTTGGGCATACTCTTATTTCATTAGTCATGAGACAGAATATATAGCTTGCCTACAACTCCGCTGGCTATTCAATTTGTTTCCTTTAATCTATTTCTATCTTTAAGAATTAGAGTTTACTTCTCAACATTCCCTCTCAGTTCACGGATTCGTGGTCAATGCACGAAATTTCGAGTTTATGATCGGAATCGTTAATATTATAAATCAATTTCCAAAGATTATTTTTACAAAAAAACAAACATATGTAAACTAGGATTAAATACAAGTTGGATATGAGTTTTAGAGTAATGCTACACATACCACACTTTTCTAGGTTTAAAGGAACAATACCAAATTTAAGAAAAACTACCAAACTCAACCCATTCTATTTAGATTAAGCCACAATTTGTAGGCCATGACATTTATACTCATAGGTGATAGGACCATTTACATTCCCCCTGCACACAGCTCGCTGGTCTCCGTGCGCCAGTGTCGGATCTCGTTTCGGCCACCATCGTCGGTGCCGAAAAATTTGAAGTCATTGTTCTACATTACATAAAAAATAGCAATAAGTTCAACCTTTTATCTTCAATTATGTTTATTTTCTAAGTTTATTATTTCTTCACATGTATACAAAATAAAATCAAAGAACTTAATTAAGAGAAAATCCGTCGCTTTACATGTATTTATGAAAGTCACTATTGAATAGCTACCTTTAGACTAGAAAAATTGATTAGCCAGTTGCCAGAAAAATTGATCGGAATCGACCACTAATACAAGTTGGTTAGTCGGAAAACATTGTAGGATTGAGTGACAATCTTGTAATTATTTTGAAATATAATAATTTTGTAGAATTGTTTTAGTTGACTTTTCCATTGGTGCCTAAACTAAAATATGGTATTAATTTTAGCAAAAAAACTAGACTTTGTGAATTTGGTTAACCCATCCATCCTAATCAGTGATCACAAAAGACAATTATTATATAATCCCACAATTGGGTCTAGTGGTCCTCCTTTTTTCTTTTTCTTTTTCTTATTTGTTCTTTTTAGGGAGATGTTAACTAACTTTTTCAAAAGTGGGATTTTTTATAGTCCATCTATTTTTTTTTTCCATAATATTTTATAATGTTGATACATAAATTGATATTAAAAGGTAAGATGATAAAAAGTTCATTTCACTTTTGAGATAATACCCTTAGCATTTCTCTTCTTTTTAACATGTGATGGGGCAGCGACTAGTCACATGTATAACTCAACGACAACCAGTTCCAGTTCGCACTAACTTTCCACGAAGAATCTTTGCCACAAATGTGAATCGGATAAGTCAGGGAGAAAATGCCACCAACGATTTGAAGAAGATGGAAAAAAAAAAAAGAAAAAAAGAAAAAAAAAAAAGCATCTTTGGTGTCATCAGACTATTATGGTGTGAATCTTCCAAATGCCTTTAGTGAATTATCTCGTGCCTCATTATTGTTAATAAAATATTTCAAGTGATTATATTTTCCAATCCTATAAACTGATTGTACGCATTTGATGGTTTTTTATTTTTTTAATTTTATATTTTAAGAATGTATCTCATATTAATAAATAAAAAATAAAAAAAAATTGCATTGACTTAAATGCTAGGTTATTTTTTATTTTGTCAATTGATTTTATGGTGAAACCTCAACTTTTTTTCATGGTATCATAGTAGGTTGTCTGGCGTATGAAGCCTAATGGCCACACATGCTACACGACTGCTTTGTGTTGTTCACGTGCTATAATTAAAAAATTAATTTAAACTACTTTTCATATTACTAATTAGTTTTATTGTTGATCTTCAACTTCCTTCATTTTTATTATATTAATTGATTATAATGGACAAATTATTAGCATGGCAAGAAATATGACCTTTAGAATTACTCTTGTCGTTGTCTTTGATTTTTCTTGGAAACTCGTCGTCTATATCAAAGACATGTGGATAGAATTTTCTTGGTGTACATGTTTCGTGGAAAGTTAGTTTTAAGGAATCGTAGGACTTAACTTCATACATTTGTCTTTGAACAAAATAACAAACTTTAGTTTTAAGGAATCGTAGGACTTAACTTCATACATTTGTCTTTGAACAAAATAACAAACTTCATACTTTGTCAATACATTGACTTTGCAGTCAGCTACCACAGCTATTGCTATCTTACTAATCTTACCAGTTCAAACCCCTTTGGATATTGGTCGTAAGAGTAATGCTAGACATACTAAATATTTAAACTAAATTGGCAAACTAAATAAATGTCATTCACTCACTAATTAGAAATAAACATGTTAATCAATATTTAAGTAATAATCAAATCAACACTCACATCATTTAGTTTACAAAATTTAATTTAGAAATTTTAATCTTCCTAACATTATCCTTGATCATAAATGTAAATGATCGTACCCCCTTGGATGGATTTTGAAATGTAGTTTTCCACATTTCGTTTTTTTTTTTTTTTTTTTTTTTTGTCTTTTTAGCTAAAAAGCTTCTTGAGACTGATATAACTCCTCATTTTGATTTCTGACAATGAAAATTGATAAAACTTCCCTAAGTTTGTCTATCGTAAATCATTTTGATATTTCCGTTCAAAACTTATCAAATATCCTTGTTAAGTTGCCACGTGAACGACTAAATGACCACCATTTTAAGGGTATTTTTGTTAAACCAACCCCTCCACTTAACAAAGACATTAGAGACTTTTCTTGTTTTTTCCTAACATTTTGGTGTTTTTCAACATGTTCTGCAGATTTAGACCTACTAAGTTTTGGTTTAAAGGGGTTAGGAATTAGGTTTTACTAGCGACTGGTACCCAAGCGTTGCTGCGGGTTTTAAAATCATATAAAGCATGTCTGAAATACTATGTTAGTACATGTGATTGATGTCTCATTGTTCATTAACAATAGGCAATACTATTTACATACATGTGGAATGCAGGAAGGAAATTACTGACCTTTTGTTCTAAATAAAAAAGAACACTAACTAGTAGAAACCAAAAAAGAAGACTAATTCGAAATACAATTTGAAAAAAAAACCTTTCCAAACAGTTGAACATCAAGAAGAACGCTAATTCTAAAATACAAATTCAATTTCTCTCCATGTTCAAAAGCATCCAAGCAGAGAGTAATTTCTATTACCAGTATGATTAGCTTGTAATGACTTGTCCACTGTGATAAAAAGCATCAAATTTCTCATTTTGTCTCCAATTTCCATCACTTCAGTTGCCCCTTTTGCAGATTTTGTTTCTTTCTTCCATTGACACCAATGTTTTGCCTTGCGCTTTGATTCAGCCTCATCTAGATAATGTAAATATAAATTTATCACATATACATATAACCACACAACGCAGACATTGTATATGGTATTCTGTTTATAACATATGCTAACAATACAAAATGCAGACATTGTATATGGTATTCTGCATAACTGC